AGAACTTTCGATTTTAGGTATTATTATAAAAACTGCCTTTAGCAAAGGATAATCCAGAAGTAAAAGACAAATGAAGGGAACTTTTATCTTTTCTTAACAGGAGCTCCATATTTCTATACGTTACATAATAGGAACTGTTCTATAATCCTATAGAAAGGAAACTTTGGACGAGATTTCAGGTCTGAACATTTAATCTCTTTTAGTTTCTTGACTTTTACGTATTTGAGATAATCTCTAATTGAATACTACTTTTTTAATGGAAACAGTCAGATGTAAATAATAAATATATTTTTAGTGCAAATATTTCGAATATTATGTTTTTAAGGTAAAGAGGTGAAGAGCCGTTTTTATAGTAAAATAATGATTTAACTTAGAAAATTTTGAAAACATTGGAATTTATTTATGATATGAAACTTTCTAATATTAATTATTAAACGTAAAAACGATAATAAACATTTCATGCATTTTATGCTTTCAGGCTCTGAAATAAAACCTAGCAACTACGAGCTTAGTTAATTAGTTAAATTTCATTCTTCGGCTGACCAATAATTCCCGGTATATGCATGAAAACATTGGCTTTAATTAATTGAGTAAATTGATGTATATTTCTCATTCAAAAGAGAAAGAAATCTGTAATTTAACTGAAGAAAAAATTTTCTAAAATTTCAAAAGCAAAGAACAATGCCTAGAATTAAAAAGGCAGGATTTGGAAAAGTCAATACTTATCAACCCAATCACAAATAAATAGTATGCGTTTCCAGACTTTCCGACCTCTTTGACAACTAAATGAAAATTCCATTAAAATTTCGAATCAAAATAAGGAAATGAAATTTAAAATTCAAAAAAGTAAACAAAATATCACGCAAGTCAAGGCATCAGTAATTAGGTATTTTATGCTAAATTTTCTAAAACTATAAGCACATTTACTTACACATAAGTTTGCACAGGTTTACTTACGCATTAATTAAGCACATTAATTTTCACAAAGTTGTAGGGGGAAAGTAATGCCCATATACATGCAGCACCAAGTCTATGTGCGCGTTTAATTTTCTTAAATTAAAAAATAATGGCAATAATTTACCGTAAATTTATGACATGAAAAGAAGAGTCCAGAGAACATTGCTATACTAAGTAAAATTTTGTTCCTGATGTTCAGTGGTAGAAAATATGCAGTGGAGAGCATCTCATCTTTGCTCGTGTAATTTTCTGCGAGTTGTAATTTGTTGATGCTTGATCTTCCTAGTAGACTTCTTAGCTGAGTTAACTCATAGTTGCCCTTGGACACACAGCTGATTCTCTGTTACAATTATTAAATTTTAATGACAGCATGTAGTGAATGAGTTCATATGTAGTGATCCCACAGCCAGAGCCAGAGCCTAGCAGCACCATGACAGTTTAAATACACTAATGGAGGAAGATGGGATACCGCCAACGCAGTTTCTTGCTGTATATCTGAATCATCCAGAGCACTGACTCCAAGGGAACCAATTTCAGTGAAATCTACGCTCATTAGCTATCCCACAAGGACAGTTGTCACTCTACTATGCTCTACCTTCCCTATGCCAAGTGGATTTCAACACAGAAAAATGATCAAGGTATGGTAAATGTCCAGGTACAGAGGTAATTAAGAAGATCTAAATGGTCATAAGACTTCAGAATAGTATCATCGCCGTTTTATTGTTGCGCAGTCATTCTAAAGTATAAATTGAGCATGGATTTGTATTCGGAATTTACCTGTTCTGCGGATAATTATTTTTTATTCTTACAGACCCCTGATTTAATGAACACCATATGGGCGACACACACAAGAACAAGACACAACCATAAAGGATAGCAACTTTTAAAGTCTACAGTTATAGTTTAATTAGTTGGTTTTCTGTTTCCAGGTTTTGACTCCAAATTCACTTCAACACTGACCAAGATGTGGGAAATGTTTGAATAGGTAAGTGATCTATTTTTCGCTTCGATATTTTTATGACGGTATTTTAAAATTGTGGAATTTTCAAACTGTTTATTTTCCGCGAAGATATTTTATACCATTATACTTTAGAGTTGCGATGCTTTCTCCACGACGTTTACATGCGGATGCCTTGACCACGGTGCTTCCAGCAGACGCCATCCATTAAGACTTCAGACACTGCAGACTTTGAAGAGATAATTAATTTATTCCATCTGCACCAGCATAACCGAGAACGACATAGTTGAATGTGAAGTTAACACTGAGAGAAAGAAGGGTTCAGGGAATTTAGAAATAGCTGGTGCATTTTCAGGCTTCGGAAAGACACAAAATCAATTTCCTATCTACACTAATTCCTAACTACAAAACATTAGGCGTTATATAATATACATTACAAATCGCCATAACTCTAGGCTACTACTAGAAATCAAAAAGTCAAAAACATTTAACACGAAGTGAAAAATATTATTGATATACTTTTAAAATCTGAGCATAAATTTTAGTTTTCTTACTTTGAAAAAGAAAATTAAAAAGCAAATAAGGAGGCTAAAATAGTTGGGTTTATAAAACTTTCATTCATGTACTAGAATCTTTATGCTTGTCAACTTTATAAATGGAACTGCTTACATTATTACATTAAGTATTTTCGGTACGTTAAATTTTTCTTAAACTTATGCAACAGAGAGTCAAATTGGGCTAAATTATTTATTCTGTATTTCAACAAACCAGAGCAATATCTCACATTTTGTTGCCCGATTTCACATTGGTGAGCGATTTGACTGATCCCTTTACAGTTTAGTGTTAAGCTCTCATTTTGCCGCGTGCAAACAGTCTCGCAAGCTGGAAATGAAGATCTACTTTGTTTCGAAAGTTGTTGCCACTTCTCGCTTTCCAATCCTAGAGTTTGTTAATAAAAATTTGTAAGTTTTACGATTAAATAAAAATAGCATTGCCAAACATTAAATACATTATCGATTCCAAAAATTCGTGCGAAGCCATTTCGACTATTCCCATCTTCGTACGACTTAAATCAGTGGAAATAGTTAAAACTCTGAAAGCGCTAATTTTCGTACTCATATTTTTCAAGTCACAACAATCTCGCACGTTGGCGATAAAAATGCTTTTTTCAAAAAGTGCTGCTGCTGCTCGCTTTTAAATCGCAGAGTTTATTAATCAAAAATTTAAAATTTTTACAGAATCTATACATATTGTTACGTTTTTCTTTTCTAAGACCAGTTGTTACGTTATTTTCTTCCTTTACGTTCATACGGGGTTTGTAGATTTGGAGTGAATAACGACGACGCATGATGAAGTATCGAAACACACTTTATATAGCCAATATTAATCAGGACTGCTCCAAAGTCACTTTTACAGTCGTCGAACTGTTATAAACCCGCTGACACGTTCAGCGACACAACCTTCACACTGTCAGGCAATAACGAAGGAGACAGCTTCACTGCAAAGCACCCGAGTACATCTCCCAACTATGTTTGGTCGTTCTCGAAATTCCACGTACTCTCAAGACTCTCCACGCTACAACTCGCGATGCACTAGACGACACACGAGCACAGATCCCGACTCTTCGGTTCAGTCATTCCCGGAGCTCAACATGCTCTCTCGACGATGCACTAACCGGGATACACTAACAGACTCCTTCGGTGCACTCGACGACCCACTCGGCACTAGACTTCGAGACACTCGCTCAGTGACTATCAGCTCGCTAGACGAGGCACACACACTGACTGACTGCGGACCAGCAGGGTTTATATAGCTTTCGGCTTGTGTTCGAGAACATTCTGGGCTAAACCGGTAAGAATTCGTTTCAGAAGGTTCTTCATCTGTCCATCGCATATCGCCAAACATCGGCAAATGGGCGATTTTTCGCGAAATGTGGCAACCCTGCCTCCCTTGCCTTTTTATGGTAACCCTGAAACTGCTTTGCGGGAAAGCTATATCACCGCCTGTACATTTCGTAACAATATAAAGAAGAATGTCTGTTTGTGTGTTTGTTTGCTTGTCCGCGTTATTGATTTCTTGTCAATTATGATAAATTGTTTGCTACATTTAATCGACTAAAATTAAATATAGGGGAAATATTGGATGGAACTTGAGCTTTTACGACCATTTGATTGGAAAGACGAAAATAATTAAAAACTGCGTGCTACTGTTACTGATATAATAAGAGAGAGAATTAGCTTATTTTTTATCGAAATTTTTTATATAGGTTCCATATCGCATCAAACTGAAAAATATATGACGATAAATAGTAGTTTTTGCATCGTTATTAGAGAAGGATTACAGCTCTCAGTTGTTAGATGCATTACACTTAATCTAACTTAACTGGTATCGGGTAGTTCTACTTGTATATGTGTTACGGTGAAGCATCGAAATCTGGAGAACGTCTTTCACCAGTCAATGTCGACATTCACATAGTCGCTTGGTCTATGTCCGAAATATTTTCCAAATACTCTTATTTCTGACTAACACCGGTAAATGTCGACATTCACCATATACTAATGGTGAATGCTGAATATATAAGAATATTATATTTTCTTCTCCGTAATTCAAATTCAGTCGCGAAAAAACGCACTTGAAACATAAAATAAGAACTTAAGAATATAAGACCTTAAAAGACACACAACATTCAAAGTGAGAAAGGAAAATAACAGAAGTTAAAACTTACTTAATAATAGAGTACGTTCTAAATGAGAAAATAAAATAATAGTAATAGAAAACATACTTAATTATGTGATTCAAATCTTATTTATTGCAACAACTTTAACTATTATGACACTTTGAATTGCACAAGAGGTCTTTGCTTTTTAAAACTGCATTTATATGTGTAACACTTCATTTTGCAATGACAGCGTGTATAACCTTGCCCACCGCTCCTCGAATCAGCTGCAGCTGCTTCTCTCAGCGAATTTCTTGAAAATAAATCTCATCTATGGAAAGTAGTTTTTCTTTACAAATTACGAACTGATAACGTGTGTACTTCTTGAGGTCACCATTTCCGTTTGCAAGTTTATAGAAGTCTCCTATTCTATAGTTTATAGAAGTCTCCTATTCTAACAGCAACCGCTAACACATTTCGGTTATCTGTACGACCACGGTCGACATCAAGGACTTGCATTCGTACAGTATCACCAATTTGAGCAGGAGGAAATTGTTTTTTTGAGATTCGTAACATTTTTGTTGCCTGCAGTTGAAGATTATCTTTCGCAGCTGGTCTTTTTATAGAAATTAACTCGTCGGTTTCAGTCAGAACTTGATGGGAAGACATGGTAGATTGCAAGACCTCTTGAATATTTTTCTTCTGAATATGGTTCTCAGTATGACCACCTATTTTTTCAGAAGTATTACCAGTTTCTTCAAGCTGTTCTTTGGTTTCAAACGCATTGGCAATTTCTTTGAGTTGTTTTTCGGTTTCGATATTTTCGATTTGTTCGCTAGGCAAAAAAGACGATGCTACGCCTCTTTTTGCTTTAACGCCAAAGATGGCTTCATAAACACTTTGGCGTTTTCCTTCGTGGTATGTAGTGTTCTTGGCAAATTGTACAAAGGGTAAACCTTCTGTCCATTTATTTGTATCGCTATCGTTCCTCCATGCAGTTAGCATATTCTGTATATCCTGATTGGCCCTTTTAACTGAGCCTTGTGTTTGACTGTGACGAGGCTTTCCATGAACTATCTTAACATCTTTCCACATAGCGCATGTTTTGGATATGACTTGATTACTGAATTCTCTACCATTATCTGATTGCAATATTGCTGGAGCACCAATTGTTAAAAATATTGCAAGAACGTGATACGCTACTTCTTCAGCTCTCTTAGTTTTCAAAGGTCGTAGCTGAACAATCTTAGATAAATGATCTTGATATACCATTATAAACTTATATTCGCTATCTCTGTTTGACTGAAGATCTACTAGATCAACTTGATATCTTGAATTTAACTCAGAAATGATAATTTATTTCACAATACCTTTCTTAGGTGCACTGTGTTTCATTTGACACTGTTTGCACAACTTTAAATACAACATTTCAACTTCATATGTAATATTTTTGTATTTAATTTGCAACTCTTTAAGCATACTTGCTCTTCCTCCGTGGCCTATTCTGATGTGATTTTCATATAGTATACTGAACAATTCCTCATTGGTAACATAATGGGAGTGGGTGCGGGAGCCACTAGCCAGCCTACCGACCTAAGGTTTAACCAAGCGGATTTTGTGCCTGGTCAGTGGGATGGATGACTGTCAGAGCATTTTTTTTTTTTTTACGATTTCAGAAGAGAAGCTTACAGACTGACAATTTTTTGTGGATCAATTTTTTTTGAGATCATCTGACTTACATAGGATATTGGTTACATAGAATATTTAAATTAGCTAAATTACGATGATATCTTTTTTCGTGATGTTACATTGGATATAATTGCAGTTATTCTTGAATGGTTGTACTTTATGTTACATTTCGCGTTTCATAGTAGTATCTTAAGTTTCATTTACATTACACTCTAGATTTTCTTTCGATATATGCGTTATGTTAGAATGTAGTACATTAAAAATACTGTATATTCGTTTCTCCTGGTTTTAAAGGTACAATTAACTTCTGTTCATCATTAAGTTTTAAAGCATTAAAAAGTTTTAATCGTCTGTAATCCAAAGGTGTGTTGCACTTAGTTTTAGCAGAAACTCCCACCAGAACAAAGAATTTGGCGGGAAACAGCCAGTCGCCTCTTTGTCTACTCCTCTCTTTTCGACCTACATCAGAGCATATCTGTGATTGTCGACATATACTGGTGAAGGTCCGAATGTACAACAATGTAATGCAATATTCGATCTTTCAACCTACGTATTTGGTAAATGTTGAAATTCTCTGGTGAAAGTCGACATTCTCCAGTTTCGATCATATATGTGTAATGTATCAGCTTTTGTCCAGAATAAATAGATCGTTGAAGAAATATAGATGTAGTCGTAACTTAAATTATCAGACGATAAATTTAAAAAACAGGATCCATTTATTATTATTCAGGAGAAATAGCAGTTACAAAATCAGATATCCGGAGTAAATAAAAATAATTACTAATATCTTTTTGTATGAAGTTTACTGTATCGTTATATTTAAGAAAAAGCCCCCGATATTCTTTTGCGAGTCCTTTTATAGCCTCTGGATAGGCGGAGCTTCCAAGAAATGACGTCAGCCTCGTCAGCCAATCCAGTTCGCTATAAATATTCCAGAACATTCTATAACTGTACGTGTAGAAAAGGTGGGAAAAACAACTTGACTACGGGGCTGTGGATTTAATTCCACGTACTTTCAAATAAGAGACCGTCGCCATTAAAAATGAAAAGAACATACAGTTAGAATTTTAAGTGTATTCTTGACTATGGAATTTTATTACTACATATATATATATACAATATCATATATAATAAAGTTAAACCAAGTAATTCACCTAATTTTACACGTTAATGTATTTTTAAGATTGGTAATAAACTCGACATTTTTCATAATGCGAAAGTTGATTCTTAAAACCATTATGCTCCTTAAAACTTTATTATCAGTAAAATCCAGCTTTCTAGAGATATAATTCCCACGGTGAGTATTAATATAATCCTTAAATCCGGGTTTACCGCAATGTCAACAGATATTATTCTTCCCAGACTGTGTGTCTTGGCAAAGGCGAAATTAGATCTAAAGTGACCCAAGTACAAAATCCCAATTAATTATGTTGCATAAATTATTGACTCACAGAATTATAAGATTTTTACAGACGAAGAGAGGAAAAAATATATTTGTTATTTTGCATTTAGAGGATGAAAAGAATTTATAAAATCACATTGAAATAAATCTGCAGGATAATAGGTGGGTTTTCAAAACGTTCACTATGATTTTGATTCATTTTCCCTCTAAAATCCTAAACGAGAAGGGCATTAATCGCTACCTTCCGAAAGAATTTTTGAAAAGAGGTGTAGAGGTGGATGCTTAGTGTATCTTAGGGATTAAGCTACAACAAGTTTCAGAAGATATTAGAATAAGTTAAGCTCCTAAAGGAGAGAAAAGGAGATTTAAGTACACTTATTTAAGTTTCAAAGATGATAAGAGAATTTACTAAAATAAGCAAGAAGGAAATTTTGCACTTTAAAAATAATAGTGTAAAACTGAGTAAAAATTGGGAAGTCTGAAACAATGTTCAAATTTGAAAAACACCATTTAATTAAAGTAATTTTTAAACTTATTAAATCATCATCTGTGAAAAGTAGAAAATTTTGGAGGATAAAATAATAATAAAAATTAGAAATTAGTTTATAAGGTAGCTTCTCTCTCTTTTTCGCAAAACGCCATGGTGTAATTGGAAGCACACTCTAAGCGTATTCGAGAGATCCAGGGTTCGAGTCGCGATGAGAGCATTGCACTTTCATTGCATCTCCTGCTTAAAGAAACTGAAGGGTGCCCAAACTAAAGGGTGGTGGGTGATAATTCATCACCACCAAGATTTGGCGATTGGGTCTTTTAAACCCCTGTCATCTCTCAAAAGAGGGGGTATATAAGGTATTTTCTCCCACCTTTTATCAAGTTCCTGGTGTAATTGGGAGCATACTCGAAGAGTATTCAAGAGGTCCAGTGTTCGAATACTGGCGAGAACACCACACATTTTTCACACTTCGTTTTGGTATTCTACAGGCTAAAAATATTGAGTAAATATCCTCGCCTGGCTAAATTTTTGTAAACTCTTTGAAAAGCAGAATAATTTCTTTCTTAGTTTCTTTTCTTCCACGGTGACTTTTTAATGCAAAAAGCTTTTAGTAGAGTTTCAAAAGCCTTTCCAGTAAAACAATGGAACTTTTAAGTTGCAAACACAACAAATAAATGGATAAATTAACATATTTATAATAATTAATGGAATTCACATATTTTCAGTGACATTTGCGAGCTTCCTCTTGCTTTGAAGTGAGAAGCTTATGCTAGCTCGTAAAGAAATGCAGTAACTTCAGACTCGTAGAGTTTTATGTTAGTTAAAGTTTCTATAAACGTTCACGGCAATTACACATAAAATCTTTGCTAGAAGTTTATACTATATAAATTTGCTCCAAATTTTATAATATAAACTTTCAGTACGATTATATATACCTTTGCTACCTGATAAAAATGATCAATAAAATTATTTGGGGATTTTACCATCATGTACTTGTAGAAATTACCGATATACCTATACTTATAGACTAAATTCCTTTAAAATACAGCAGATAAAAATCCGTAGCCTATACGGGTACACGTAGGCCAAATATCCGTCAAAACCAATATACAAAAACCCTAAACCTATATGAGTACCCGCATAAATACACGAATAACGTAGACTAAATCCCCTTAAACAAAAGCAAAAGAATATTATGAGTATCTATATACAATGTCCTCATGAAAAACAGTACACAAAATCAACAGAACTGAAGACCAAATTTTCATAAAACTAGTCATTTTAAGAAAAAGCAAACAAAAAATAATAATTTGCATTCGAGTAGAAAAAGACGAAATTAGGAACTATAGTAAAGCCAAAACAGAAAAAAAAATCTGAAAGCATTCAGATTTTATACGTATTACACCCAAATTTTCATTTTACATACATACACGTTTCCAGCATTTGAACTAACGCCTCTTTGGCTAAAACTATTTAAGAATAGCCTACATACACACTCACATATATATACGAGGGTTGTGGCAAAAGTCATGGCAACTATTTTTTTCTTTCTTGTAGATATGTGAACGGATCACAAAACGTATATGTGTCGTGTGGAAGTTCTGCAGGCATAGTGTCGTGCAGTCAGTTGGTGAGTGTTCTGCAGTCAGTTGGTGAGTGTCGTGCGAGATCCCGTGTTGAGCAGCGCGCTTACATCAAAATAGCCGTTCTCCGAAGGAGAAATGCGATGGAATGTCACAGTGAATTAGTAGAAGCCCTTAGAAATAATGCCCTACCATACTGTACAGTAACACGGTGAGTAGGAAAGTTTCAGCAAGGACATGTGTCAACCAGAGATGAGCAACGTTCTAGACGACCGGTGAGTGTGTAGACCGACTTAGCACCTGCCGTCATCGAACACTTCATGGATGAAGACAGACGGTGGACGTTACTGGAGTTAGAGAGGGAAACTGGCATCATAAAACGCACCGTCCACAGGATATTGCGTGATGAGCTAGCGTCAGAATCTTTCCTCAGTCAAATTGATGGTGATCGTCGCGTATGACTGTAATCTCATTCCCAAGATTAAGGAGCCAATACGAGGTAGGCGGTTTGCTACACGGGAGGGCATTGCTAATGGTGTGCGCCAACAGATGACACGATTCACACATCGTGCGACAAATGCTGAGGCTGATGGTATTCAGCGCTTCCCACATCGTTGGCAGCGTGTGGTGACTGTAGCAGGGGCTACATTGAGCGTCTTTAGGCCCAGGTTTGTCATGTCAACTTTATGTGTATTGTGTTATCATTCTTTTGCACAGTGAAGGCCATATTGCCCTGTATACTACCGCAATAAATTCGTGTATTACGATATTTCAGTGCTATTCATTGTCCACACATGTAGTTAAGACCTTGTCCTTTCCTCTGTATATGTCACTTTTTCCAACCGGTCCGGTATCTTCAAGGAAAAAAAAATAGTTGCCATGGCTTTTGCCCCAACCTACGTATATATATATATAGATATATGTGTATGTAATTCTTAACAAAATGTTTTTCATTCTCTTCAAAAATAATAGTGGGTGACTTATATGTGCACAAAATTATAGTGACACTAAAACAATAGTAACAAAGGCGACCTATTGGAAGACTGTATTTCTTGTATAACACATGTATACACAATAAGAGCAACGCCCTTATACCTCTTTTCAG